ATCGGAAGAGTGTGGAGTGTAATTTTTTTCATGTATTGTATCCAAATTCTCTCACTACTCACTATCACTATTCGGTATGCGTCGCCCCAGGGTCGTCCACGTTCAGAACCACGGGGCTCCTGTCCACACGGAGTGCCTCAACGAAAAGATCCTTTTCGAAAGCCTTTGTCTTCTACTTCCGGTCACAAGTTCTCGTCCTCCGCACTGCCACAGTATTCGGTTGGCCGATGCCATATCGGATCGCCTGATGGTCGCTATGGGTACATCATTCGCACACTCTCCAATCCATGTTTGTCACCAGCGACGGACTGCATAAAGTAACGTCGATAATGGATTCCCGGCCATCTCTGCGAAAAAGTGTTGCTGGTGCCTTCGTTGGCCAGCATAACTTTCAGTTTTGCCAGAGCTTCCAGCAGACCTGTGCCCTCTTGCATTGGAATATCTGCTTCCCCACTCCACTGCCCAAGCATTGAAGTCTCCTCCGATGACTACCGGTCGTCGTCCGATCAGCATCTCATGGAACTGCTCCATCGTTCATCTGGAGGGTGCGTAACAACTACATATGAAGATTCCGTTAGTTTTGGCGATCACGAAACCTTCGTATGAGCTCGCAACCACTTCTTGAATAGGGTATCTACCCATAACTTGTATAGCCGTCATCCCTGCTTTATCCGCCACCCAGTTACCGTTATCGGGAGGGACTCGATACGGTTCCGCAATGATTGCCACAACAGTTGCTGTGCAGTGTCGCAATGATTGAGATTTATTTGGGTTACCTCCATTACTGTTGGCCTGCCATTGCCTTTTTGTATGCTAGGCATTTGAAGCCTCTCGCCGAAAATTCGATTTTATAGTGATTTATAATTGTTATTTTGCACCAGTGTTTTTTATTACGCACCTAGTACCGTTGAGTGTAATGCGACTGCATTTTAAATGAAAAATGTTGATAAGACATTTAACATTCTGAGAATTAGCTGGAGTATGTATGGATCTCTTGCTAAATGGCGTGTAAATGGGCAACGATAATCATAACGCCTGAGGGTAACACGATGGGACCAGCGTATCGCATATCCAACATGGCCGTGTGGATTTCGCACAATCATCGAAGAGAACAGAAATTCTTGGTAATAGGGTTAATTACCCCATTTTCGGCGCATTAAGCACAACCCGCACTTAGCCTTTCATAATCTAGCGCAGTTTAGCACCAAACGGAATGTTATTATTACTGATAGCTTCCAAATTTATTTACCTTTCCATATGTACCGTAAGATTTGATGAAGATAAACCAATCTTTGAGATATTGTCAAAAGTCTAATACTGCTTCTTGACGCTAAACCACGGATTCTAAACTCGGCCTAACGCATTGAAACGCCAATGAATTCACTTCGGCCTATCGGATGAAGATAAATATTGATTCGTTCGGAGCTCTTCTATTGTTTTTGGGAATAATGGGTGCAAACCTTCATATTACGCGTTCTCATTGACTTCGTTCCGTAGTTTATTAACTAAAGTATCGTACCAAACGCAAAATTCACTTGTTAACTCTGAAATCATGGATTTATTTGAAGTTTTCTGCTCGATAGGCCCAAAATGGGCGATGAGGCCGAAGTAGTTCTCTACCCTACCGATGTAACGCGAGGAGTAATTATCAGATTAGTAACTAAATGTGTTCAAATGAGTTTGAGTGGGCAGGACTAGGGTGTAAGTTGGGTTTATTTGTCGTGTATCATTATCTTTTTTACTGATCGAAGACAACATCTCGTGTTACACGAAGGTTTGTGCATAAACTGGGACCGTTGTCGTCACATATTGGCAAGTTTTACCAAAATTTATTATGTGCCGCACACGCAGAGCTGGTAGCAACTTGGTTACTATTTTGAAGCCAGTCACTAAAAAGTCACCAAAGTCACTATTTCCCTAAAAATAGTCACTAAAGTCACTTTTTCACTACTAAAATAGAGTAAAATTAAAAAAATATCAACAAAATGTTTAAATTGAGTACTTGGCACTAATAAAGTCTACAGTAGTTTTAACAAAATATACATATCTGTTAAAAATAAAATAAAAATTTTAACCAGGGTGACCAGTGAATCGCAAAACTTTAGAACATCAGGAAAACTATTGGGAAATGCCTTCAATTTCGATTAAAAATCGGAGAAAATATACATCCTTTCTCAGAAAATAAATTGTAAACCATGGAAACTTTCCAAAGGTATTTGTCTGTGATAGATTTTCACAAGTCTTAAGATGATTATGAACTTTAAAAAATCTAAAGTAAGTTTTTACAGAATTCCAGGGATGACACCAAGATATATCAGAGAAGATTACGAAAGTACAGACTACGAAAGTATCATGTAAAATTAAGTGCTCTGAGGACCAATTTGTTCATCTCCTCTTAAATCTTAAGCCAGGTTTACCTATATAGTTATACCTGAGTGCGTTTCACGAGAGCTCTGAGAAGAATTCTATGTTGATTGGATGACGATTCAATGTCAAATTCTAATAAGAATTCAAACTTAGTTCCGAAATTCCAAAATATTTCTAAAGAGTTCGAAATAAATTCCGAGAATTTCAATGGAATCGAATTTTGAAGGTTCAATCTCAAAGGACTTCTGAGAAGAGTTTCAAAGTTATTGTGTGATGGATTTTTGTTTTGAGAATTCTGAGGAAATACTATGGAAATTCTAAGGAGAATTATTCTAAGCAGAGTTCTATGAAATTTCTGAGGTTAACTGCATGGAAATTCTAAGGGGAATTCAAATAAATTTAAAATGGATCTATGGAAGGAGCCTTCAGGAAGTTCCTAGAAGAGTCAATAAAAAATCGAAAATGATCTACTTTAACTAATCATGTGTTATTACTTCATGCGTGAATTTAACGTCAAATATCAGACTTAAAGTGGAGATTTTATACGATAGATGAGGGGATTAAATTATAGAGTTGATAGTTCCGTTGTATTAGGGGAAACGATCCTATAGTTGCGGTACGTTAGAAGCGTTAGGTTCCTATAGTTGAGTCATGGAGACTCAATACACAACTATAGGAACCTTACGCGTTTAATGTACCGCAACTATAGGAGCGTTTACCCTGCGGCAGTGTGAAAATTGTATATACAAAGTAGAAAGCGAATGGACAATTTTGAGGAAGGTACGAGTCTTGTAGATGTTTACGCCAGATGGCGACTTGAGTGTGAAACAATCGATAGAACTGTTTCCGCACATCGGAGGTACATGAGCAAATTTCACACTGCCGTACTATAACGGAACTATCAACTCTTTATATCTTATCATCTATCGTATAAAATGTCCACTTTAATTCTGATATTTGATGTTAAGCATTTCCAACTACGAAAATAATCTATTTCCAAGAATTTTGTTGATTGTTCTGCAAATAATTTCAAGAATGCAATATTATTTTTGTAAAAGCTTTTAAGAGAAGGGAAATTATTCTAAAAAAGTTCTTGAGAACATTCTAAAGAAATTCTGTGAAAAGTTATCTACCTACATACATCAACATTTTGAAAATTTCGCTAGTCATCATGTATAACGTAAACAAAAGTAAATTACTAAAATCACTTCAAATGCTCTTCACAGGAGATTTCGTTTTTGAGATACGATTAAATTAAAGGAATTTATGAAATTTAATTTTGAAGTTCAATAACATAAAAAGTTTATTTCAATATCAAACCGTAGTTGAATTTCTAAGGCTGTGAACCATTTGCCGAGTTAAATTTAACTCGCGGTTAAAAGTGATTCTCTATGTTCGAACATGTGCTGTCGATCGCCCGGTTTTCGAGACTTTCCATCTGTCAAATAACCAAAAGTTAAAAAAAATCCACCATATGGTTCAGAGCCTAAGTTACCATATAAATGGTCACTATTTCCGTAATTTTAGTCACTAAAGTCACTACTATTATATCGCATCAGCACTACCAGCCCTGCACACACGGGAATGCTTAACAGTGAATCCAGATGATCAGGAAAGTGGTATTGGTTTGCGTGGGCGTACTTTGGTTCGCGTATAAAGGGCCTTAGAAAGTTTGTTTACAAATTCTTTTGTGCCGTTATCAAATGTTATGCCTGAAGTTACAGTTCTGTTTTTTGAGTTGTCATATTTTTCGCTGATATATCAAAATATGCAAGCATCGACGCAATTGATTTTAACTTGTATAAATTTACAATATTTTTTTCAACTATTGACATCGAAATTGCACTTGTTACTTATATGTACTGTCATTTTCTCTATGCTACTTTTTTCCATATGATACTGATATGCAATGATAGACAGTGCAGATAACATCACTCAAATCTAGGGAGTAATTGATAATGTGCCAAGTATATAAATTGTTTCTTCTCCAGATTGTTTCGCTGAGTTCACCACTTTTTCTTTAACACTAGGTGTCAAACCACTCGATTTCCGTAGTCTGGTTTAAATTGCTGTCTCCTGTGATGTATAATATTTGTTATGTGTTTTAATTGATTTAGAATGAATACTTGAATGTTTTATTTGTTTATTTTTGTCTCTTGTTTGTCGTCATTATTAAAAACGCTTTATAAAAATCATCTCAACACCCACCTTCATTTTATATTCGTTAATCGATAGGTAGAATTAAATGTTTAACAAACGTACTTCATAACAGTAGACCTGAGACGAAAATTATAAATATTTGCCTAATTGAGCTCTCTTCTAAAAAATTAAATAACTACGCATGTTGTCGGTGACCCATGTTGTTACTACTATGGAAACCTCTTTCGACAAAAACAATTTAGAATTGGCTCGTTCCATTTTTTATAATTCTATTTTGTTTTTTTATTCTTCGAATTTTCCAATTGCTTTCTAAGAAGAGGGTTTTTTTACCGACTTTGGAACGTTTTCTTTATTAGTTTGATTTCTTCCTTTAAAATCTACTTTTTTCCTATCCTCTCAACATAGTTTACTCTCGATCACAAAGTTTGCTCATTTTTGGCATTATTTTCGTTTCAGCTCCGCTGTTATGTTGTAAGAAAAAGAACAAATAGCAAGCTAACACAAAAGAGTACTATTTGAAAAGCGAAGTTGCTCAGACATAGAAAAGAGTCATACAGGATAAAAATACCTATACGTAATTGAGGAAAGCTATTTCGGAAAAGGAAGCAGCTAAAAGCAAGAAGCAAAAATTGGCATCGAAATGACAACCCGTAGGCAGCTGTCGGATGTACAGTCTTCATCTTCCAGTGGCGGTGGCGGGACAATGTCTGGTGGGACAGGTGGTGGGGGATGTCTGAGTGACTCGCTGATATCCTCCTCCGGCAAGAAACGAATGACTGCCCTAAATGGGATCCCCACCAGCATCGATGACAAGAGCAACGACTTTCTGTGTCCGATTTGCTTTGATGTCATTACCGAGGCACACATTACCAAATGTGGTCACACCTTTTGCCACCACTGCATAATCAAGTCGATAGAGATGACCAAAAAGTGTCCCAAATGCAACTTCACCCTATCCTCACATGAATCCATTGTGCCGAATTACTTGCTCAACGATTTGATCACTAAGTTTAAATTGAAAGGGAAGCGAAACGATTCCAGCAATACACAGTCGGGTGATTCAGCTGACACATTGAAACACTTTCTAGCGTCAGAATCGAAAAAACTGTCTCTGTCGGACGTGAATGTAATGCTGGAGATTCTGAATCAGCGGAAAATACTGCTGGAAGCCGAATCGTGTGCTGCTCAAAATAGGCTACTGCATGAGTTCCTGAAGCACCTGCTGCAGCAAAAAGAGCAACAACAATTGCAAGTCGCAAACGAGATTGCGTTGATCAAGAATGATCTTACGGATGTAGAGAAAATTTTGAAAGAGGTACAAAGCAGTTGTCCGACGGTGGAAGAGGTGGAGAATAGCGTAAAAGACGAGAAGGATGAACACGTGGTGGCTATTAAGAAAGAAATAATCCAAATCATCGACAAGATCGATACCATTACCGTCCCATCGAATCGCAGCGAGTCGTCAGCAGAGGGGTTCAACTTGTACAAAAATGACCCAAGCTCGTCATCTTTTATGGCCCGGAAGCAGCGAATGTACCAACACTTTGACGACTTTGTACAGTGCTACTTTGCGGCCCGTAGCGAAGAGTTGTACTTTGGAAAGGATCGTTCCTTTAGTTCAGGATCTCTGGGCACCTCCACTCCTACCCGCTCGATTGACACTACCAAATCTACACGATCGCTGGATACGTTTAGGGAAAATCTCATCAAATTCTCGAAGTACAGCGCACTCCGACCGTTGGCGACGTTGAACTATTCTTGCGAATCGAGTTACGTGTCGACCATTGTGTCCAGCATAGAATTCGACAAAGATAGTGAGTACTTTGCCATTGCAGGTGTTACGAAGCGAATTAAAATCTTCGACTACTACACTGCAATCCGGGATGCTGCGGTGGACATCAACTATCCCATCAATGAAATGGTGTGCAGCAGTAAAATTTCCTGCGTGATATGGAACAATTACTTCAAAGAGGTTCTAGCGTCCAGCGATTACGAAGGAATTGTGTCCGTTTGGGATGTTAGTACGAAGACCCGGACGAAAGCCTATGAAGAACATGACAAACGGTGTTGGTGTGTTGATTTCAACGAAGTGGACACACGGCTGCTTGCATCCGGATCCGACGATGCTCGAGTCAAATTGTGGTCGCTGAATGTAGACCACTCGGTAGCAACAATCGAAGCACGAGCCAATGTGTGTTGTGTGAAGTTTAATCCGAAAAGTTCGTGTCACTTGGCGTTCGGTTCGGCTGATCATTGCGTGCACTATTACGATCTACGTAACATTAAAGAGCCGCTGTGCGTTTTCAAGGGACACAAAAAGGCAGTATCGTACGTGAAATTCCTCAACACGACTGAAATCGTTTCGGCAGGAACCGACGGCCAGTTAAAGCTGTGGAACATCAACTCTCCGCCCTACTGCTTGCGGTCGTTCACTGGGCATATAAACGAGAAAAACTTTGCCGGTCTGGCCACGAACAATGACTATCTGGCTTGTGGCAGCGAGGACAATTCTCTCTGTGTCTACTACAAAGGCTTGTCGAAGCAACTGTTCAACCTAAAATTCTCGTCGAGCAGCACAAACCGTTCCATCTCTGACACCGAACGAAACACCGAAGGCAGTGATTTCGTTTCAGCGGTTTGCTGGCGAAAACAAAGCAATATCATCATTGCGGGCAACAGTGAAGGAATCATAAAGATTTTAGAAATTGTGTAAAATATGTGTTAGAAGATTCGGTCCAATTGTTCAAGTTTATGACACGCGTTAATTTGTTGTTTCTTCCTTTTATACACCCAGACACACATACACACACACACACGGACAAAAACAATGCACACAACCACTCGAGTGAAACCCAAACGTTTTAAACGATGTTAATAAAGTGATAGACTTAACGATAGAATAAAGCGCTTTATTTTGTTATAAATTTTTCAAGATAAGACGTAGACATTAATTACGTTCTAGCGCTAAGTGTGACGGAATTCCCTCATTGACGAGGTCGAACTGAAACAAACTAGTAAACTTTACCTAAAATAATATCGGAAAATATTGTCGTCAATGAGCTAAATTGGAAACGTAGATGATGATGGTATGCAGATCAATTGCCAGGACCCACGAAGGGAGTCAATTAATCCAAGAAAGCCAAGATGAGATAATACCTACAAAATATGTAAATCCTAGAGTTAACATTGAAAAGAGAAAAGGAGAAAAGCCCACAGTACAGTGGTGAAATCGAACAAAGGTGTGAATTTATTTACAATCTTCATAACAGGAAGACATGCCGTGTAGCCAACCTTTGTAGAGAGAACTAGCGAAACAAGAGAGCATAAGAAATTGAACTCTATACTAACCCCCTATTTTTCTAACATACTACTTCAATGTCGATATCATAAACATAAACCGACTGCACTGAGAGACAAACTATTGTAAAACCAACTGTAGTTTATACATTTATGTAAAAAAAATGGAGATCCTACTGCACCTCGTTAATTTTTAATCTTTATTAAAGTATCTTATCCTATATATATATTGGTATTTCTTTTATGAAACAGCATACGAATCCCTGTTGACTACAGAAGTTTGTGTTTACCAACTGAAGCAGTTCTCACAACTGTTTGCTATCTAGCGTCCAAAAGTTAATATTTAAAGCGATTAAGACCCTATATCACATTTTTTATGTCTTTGAGATACATGTCGGCCTCTAGTCATATATGTAATGCTAAACGGTGATGGTGAACATAACATTTGATATTATGAAGGGAATGGTAACTTATCACCCATATTTTCATAATACTGGTCATCAACTTTGTTCTGGAAAAGCATGGAAAAACAGACAAAAGGGTTGTCCCATTACATAAGAAGCAATGGCACGCAACATAAATCGTATTTTTCACGGATTTTTGATTTGTGCTATGGGATGGTCTTGCCGAGCAGTTGGGGGCTCGGTTGAGGGTAATATGAACATTAGGGTAGTTCAAAATATCGATGTTGCTCCACCCCACTCAATCGATTTCAAATCAGGTTCTAATCATTCTCCCAAAATTTGAGCTCATTTAGTTGCGATCTCATATTGCATTGAAGTTTATATGGGAATTACTATAATGAAAGTGAACTTTGTGTTCCCATCGTCCTATCCTTTCACCCTAATGAAAGGATTCAAGTCTGCCCGTAAACCATGTTATTTACTGTCACATTTTTGTCGATTTCCATAAAATCACAACGAAATTCATGGTTAACAACAATAAATATCATTTTTGAGTGTTTGAGAAATTTACAGTAAAAAAGGGGGGTTGTTAAGTATCTTCAGTTGTCCCACAGCTGTCTACAGCAGCAGTCGATTTTTTATTTAGTTGTGAACCACATGATAGCCTGTTTTCGAGAATCGCTATTATATAGTTGCTCTTTGTTCGTTGCTAGCAGTTCGGTGCCTTTTGTTGCTACGGTGCAAGATGTGTGAAGTAAAAAACACCATAAAGTTTAGCTTCAGCCATTGTGATGCCAAACCAAACATCGGAGAGATAGTAAATTTCGCCAAAGCACTCGACGCGGATCCGGCTGAAATGGAAGCTGTTTATCGCATTGGTGAGGAAAGGGGAGTCTTCATGAAGTTCAAATCAGAGGAAGCGATGCTCCATGCTCTGACATTCAATTCGGAGGATTTAATCTTCCATTATGCGAATGGAACGACGGCAAAGGTACGCATGTCGCATGCTGGTGAATTCATTCAATATGTGCGTGTGTATGACTTGCCACCAGAGGTACCCGACAACGAGCTGGATAAAGTGCTGGGGAAATATGGGAAAATTAAACGCATCATCCGGGAGAAATTTCCAACTGATCTGTGTTTTGAGGTATATACAGGGATACGCGGTGTATATATGGATGTGAAGAAGAAAATCCCCACGTCATTACATTTCTTCAATCGCAAAGGAAATATTTTTTATGATGGCAACAAAGATAAATGTTTTCTGTGCAAGGCGGACGGACACCGGAAGCTTTCCTGTCCCAAGCGGAAGGCTCGGAAGGAACCGGAGAAGCAACTGAAGGAAAAAGGAAAGCAAAGTGAAAGAAAACAAGGAAGGTGCGTCGTTGGTCATTAGCGATCAGGAAACGGACACGGGGTTGGAGATGTTGAATGAAGATAACGAAATGGACGTGACTACCCCGACGACCGACGAGAGTAGCGGAGAGCATGCAACGGGAAACGATGTTCAGAAACAGCAGCAGCGATCACGATTCGGGTTCAATGAAAATGAGGAACAAATTCGGGAAAGAAAGAAGTTGCGTGCACGGGAGAAGATCACTTTGTCGTCGCTTCGATCGCCACCCAGAAAAATCATATGATAAAATATATTTGTACATATTTTTTTTTGTATTTTGAGTACCATAATTGGTATTCTATGTTACTCGGCTCCGCTAAGTTATTTTTATAACATTTGAGCCTGCCAAATAAACGAAGTGAAAAAAAAAAAAAGTATCTTAACAATAAAAAAAACTGAACAAACTTGATCTCATCACACTAATTTTCATGGTTTTGAGCATTGTATTGTTAAAAATCGAAAATAACTTTTTCTCTCGTACAAAAATTTAACAATACATTTTAATGTACTCGAAATTCAACAGTAAAAATCATTGTAATTTCGTTGTTTTGTTATTTTTTTTTCTGGTGATGCGCAAAACCGTGCCGTGATGATCAAATTTGTGCTGAAATCCGCCCATGTAGGAAACTGTCTTCAGACAAAAAAAAAATACATTTGGTAAAAAACACTAATTTTGTTAAAAAATAAATAAAAAAAAAACTGGTGGGTTCATTTGACATTTAGCTTAGCATTCTCAAAGCATCCTCTTGGGATTCCTTTTAAATTCTCCCCATAATTTATTTGGATTTCTGTTAAAATTCACGTTAAGTTTCTTCTTGGAATTTCCTTGTAATTCCCCTCTTAAATCCTTTGTAAACTACGTAGGTATTTTCACAGAATCTCACAACTACAGACTGTACTCCAAATAGGTCAAAAGTTAACCGTTAGTTTAAAACTATGTTAAATTTAAATTCTTCAATCCAGTGGCCACCCTGATTTTTTAAAGTTGATCAAAAATTACTTAAATAAAGGGTATTTCGACGATTTTGCGCTTAATATAAATTCAGCTCCCACTGGCACATTCCAGAGTTGAACTGAGATCATGAGGGTTGATAAAAATCCATTTCCGTAGATGCTAGACGTTGTTAGTTGGCCCTTCGCTCAATTTCAACTTTTATTCAATTTTCCCCTTCCCCAATCCTCTTCAGAAATTTCTTTAGTAGTTAATAAATTATCACACTAAAGCTTCATGTAAATATTAGTATAGCATTTCCAACAAACTCTGAAAATCTTAAAAAAGTTTGTTAATTTTAGAATCTTGAAATTTTGTCATGTCATAAACCTATAGAAAATTTATTCATGTCTCGGCATATATATGATTTTTACGAGTGGAGAGATGGAGATCTCGTACAGAGGTTACACTGTTACACTTTTCAGAAATGTCTGGTCCCCTAATCCTGAGCAGTTCTTGGGCTTGAATTTATGTGTACGGGATCTTGTACAATTTTCAATGTCTGAATTAACTAAATTATTTCTTTGGAACTTATCTCAAACCTCAAATTTCTTAAAGATTTCCTTCGGATAATTTCAAAATGACCTCAAATATTATTTTTTGTATTATAGTCACCTTAATCACTATAGGCATTCGTGACTTGCCGGAAATGAGATTCAGATTCGTGACCTTTAGAGGTACTTTCAGGGGCCTTGTTACGGAAATCTAAACGGAACGTTTTCGTATGAACGCTTGCATGAATAAGTCATTTCGACTCGGTTTCTCCATAACATATTCGGAATTCTGTGCAGCACACTTTGTGAATTCCCTCCAGAATACTCTAGAAATTCACTCTGCATTTATCTTCGTATTCTACATAATATAATTTGCTTCAATTTCTCTCCATAAAACAGCAGAAAAGGTTATCTTCCATTTAATTCCACCTAATTAATTTTGGTATCCATGACAGATACGTATTTCGACTACAATGTGCAGTCTTCATCAGAGTAATTCCCTCTAAAGACTTATCAAATTATGACCCTCTAGATAAAAATGTTAAGATCACAGATATTGTAGTCGATATTTTTTAGTATCGTAGTATAGTATTTGTCATGGATACCAAAATTAATTAGGTGGAACTAAATGGGAGATAACCTTTTGCTGTTTTATTTAAGCATTTCGCTAACAACCCAATTTCAACTTCATTCTCTCTATAGTATTTCTTAAAATATTCCTCATAAATCTGTTGGTATGCTCTTTAAAATTTAGAAAGTATTCTTCCAAAATTTCTTTGGATTCCACCTCAGATCAGAATTGCATGTGAATTTTCTACGGAATCTTGGCATTCTTCTCACTTCTGGTCCAGAATGCAGATTTAGGTGGAAGGATATGTTTTGAGCCTGAAATTTAAACTTTAGACGAAAAGTCTCTTGTACAAAGTTGTTACTTATAGTTACTTATAGTTGCTCACTGTAAAACATCGTCGCTAAAACATTACCACCATCTGTTGAGTACACTGTGGTGGGTAGTACGCTGAACAGATGGCGGTAGTGTAAACGTCAAACTCAAGGGAAATGACTATGAGCGACACAGGTGGCGGTACTACCAACTACGATACTTTTAAATTTACCGTTAAATGCTTGTTCGATGAACAACTTGCGAGTGTTATGTCTGTTTGTCTGTGGTTAGGCCCTCAGTTTTATGACAATGAATTCTAGGGTGGTTCTTATTATGATTAAAATCAAAAATCTAACTTTTTTGTTTGAAGAAAGTAAGGTATAGTTATTGCTGAGCTAATTTCAAGCAACTTTGTAAAAAGTAACTGTTTTGTATCTCTTAAATTGACCGATTTAAAGCTATTTTCTTGAATTGAGTTAGATTGTTGTTTTGCTCTATTTTTCTTATTTCAAATTTCTCAGCAAAAATGTCTTCAAAAAACTTTTAGATCGTTGTTGTTGCACAAAGCTTGTCGATATCTTTTGCCGATCAAGAGTTACTGACGTTTTTCTACTAAAAATATGCCTTTTTCAAATGATAATATCGTAAATTTTTACGGCATTTGAAAGGGCCTATGTTATTCTCAATCATATGAAAAAAATAGGGGTATGCTATTTTTAAAACTCGTATAAAATCAATTTGAAGTTGATGATTTTTTTTACTATAATTGGTTATATCTTTTGCTATAGAGATACAGACAACAACTTTTCCTATAAAGAGCTTTAATAGTCTCTCCAAGATAACTTTCATGAGAAACTTGAATTAAAAAAATTATCGGCCAACGATGGTTTTCATAGGACCACTCTAATAACAAATTTAAATAATGTGCTAGTACATTTGTTTCAATATTTGGACATTTAGTGTTTTTGGAGAAGTTTTTGTGGAACTCGTTTGGCATTTTCATCAAAATTATCAAGATCTGCAATGTGTCAGATTCCAGAAAAAATAACTTACTTTAAGATTTAGAAAAATATGGTATACCTTTTAAAAGTTCGGCACAGAACAAGAAAATGGAAAAAAATGTAACCGTTCAAAAAACAATCGGTTGTAATCAGTTTACGACTTTCAGCTGCGGTCCAATTAAAGGTGGCCAAACACGCGTCTATTGGGACCTGGGAAAGTATCCAGCAGTGGCCGTCGCGGGTCTCGGTGATGCCTCCAAATGGGATGAGCTGGACGAGATCAACGGTGCCAAGGAGAACGTTCGCATTGCCGCATCTTCCGGTGTGAAGGCCTTGTCGGCATTGAAAATTGGTCTTATCGAGGTGGAGGATCTGGAAGATGCCAAAGCGGCGGCTGAGGGAGCCCTGCTAGCTAATTACAAATTCCAGGACTTCAAATCCAAGGCTAAGCAAACACCACTGCCTGCAGTTTCATTTGCTGAAAATGCCGATGGTTGCGAGGAATGGGAACGAGGATGGATTCTTGGTCACGCTCAAAACTGGGCTAGGACGTAAGTTTGTGTAAAATGAATTATTTGCCTTCATTGATACATCTTCTTTCTAAAAGGCTTATGGAAACTCCCGCGAACCTGATGACTCCGAGCATCTTTTCCGAAAACGTTAAAGCCAAATTCGTAGGGTTGAACGTGGACGTTCAGATTCACGATGAAGACTGGGCCAAGGAGAAAAAGATGGGATCTTTCCTGTCCGTTACCAATGGAACGAAGGAACCGGCTAAATTCGTTGAAATCACCTATAAAGGTGAAGGTTCAGATGACAAATGCATTGCATTGGTTGGCAAGGGCGTAACTTTCGATTCTGGTGGCATCAGCTTGAAGCCGTCGGCTAGCATGGACCAAATGAGGGCTGACATGGGTGGAGCAGCTAATGTTGCAGCTACCATCTTTGCGCTGGCTCAACTGAAGGCACCCGTGTTTGTGAAAGGTATGTGTACTCACTTTTTAGCTTATTCATGCCTTTCCTGATAGGTGACGGTATTTGATTTGCAGGTTTCATCCCACTTTGTGAAAATATGCCCAGTAGTACTGCAACCAAGCCAGGTGATGTCGTTTTTGCCATGAATGGCAAGAGCATTTGCGTGGACAACACTGACGCAGAGGGTCGACTTATTCTGGCCGATGCATTGTGCTACGCTTCAACGTAAGTGTCTAATCTTTGTCACTTAAAAAGCTGTTTATAAATCCGTTCTCAATCTCCGCAACAGATTCAATCCGAAATTCGTTCTGGATATTGCAACATTGACTGGAGCCATCAAGGTTGCTCTAGGAGATTGTGTTGCCGGGGTGTTCTCTACGAACAATGCGCTGTGGAATACGATTCACCAAGCTGGCTCCGAGACCGGTGATCGTGTCTGGCGCATGCCTTTGTTTAAGCATTATTCGGATCAAATGTGTGACCATAATGGTTACGATTTGAATAATCTTGGCAAAGGCAAAGGAGGAGGTTCATGCACTGCAGCGGCCTTTTTGCGTGAATTCGTGCCCAAGGAAATCCCTTGGATGCATGTCGATATGGCCGGCGTTATGGGTGACTGCAGCGATCAGGGCTATACCGGAGCCAAGGGTATGACAGGTCGTCCAATGCGCACGCTAGTTGAATTCGTCTCAAAAGCTAGTCCATAGGAGCGCAATACGCGATACTGCCGATACGTCACAAAACAGAACATTACCTGCATTTTAACCCAGTGAATAGTAGGTTTTAGATATTAATCCAAAGATCACAGAAAAATATGAAAAGTTAAACGGAAATAGAACGCATTCCGAATGTAAATAATTCGGAATGCAGGCCATCTAAATAAATCTAACAAACTTGTTATTGTTTTGAGTTTAAACATTTTGCACGCAATAAACATTTAGAAGTTATCACTCGACGATCAGAAGATGAAAGAATTCCATCAGGGTGTCGACTCAATGATGAATCATAAATTCCCTTATAGGTACTCACTGATTTTTCAGACAGAGTAGAAGTGATAGAAATAAAGGAAATACATAAATGAAGCTTATTGATTAATGTGTATTACGTGTATTTACAGTTTAACTTCTATACATTACTGGAAAATTATAACTTCATGGTTCAATTACAAACTAAATTATTAAGCTCCCCAACTAACAATTTTAGTTGCTGATCAGCTTATACCCGCAAAAATAAGCTGCATAAGGCAAAATTTGGATGTATAAGCTAGTCTGCAGCTAAAATTCATAAATAGTCACCAGTTATGGAGTTCCTTATATTGTTGGTTCCTATAACAGAGGAAACCATTGTTTCATATGGATTCTATACTATTTGAATAACACTATCGCAATTATAGGTGCAATAAAATATATTCGTTTCCGAGCAAATATCACACCTTAATTGAATAGGTACATATGAAAATTCGAGCAAAATTCCCATACTGCAGCTCCATCCCATCCCATCCACAGAACACCTATCTTATACATACCCATTCAAATTTTCTGGATTCATAAGTTTTAAATATTAGCTGGAAGGCTTTGAGACCATGCTACACGGAGTGTTGTTCGTAATCTCGTTCGTAATATTCTAGATTATATTTCTTTAAAAGAGCCTTTCGACCGTGGGCTGGTTCGTCTCTGAAAACCCCAGAAAGAGGTTTCCCTAGTTAGAAAGGTTGCGTGTTACCTTCTGGAACCACCCAAATTACAAAGTTTGATGTAGGGAATCCCGGTCTCCTTAATACAGGGTGTATCTTTTACAGAGTTTGAAAAAGTGTATTTGCTGTCAAAGTTCCAGTCATGACTTTTATTTTAAACATTGATGTCACATGACTTTAAACAAAAAATACATTTGAAATAAATCTAATTTATTATTGTGGCCAGAACAAACTGAGTTTACGTTTATATTTACCTGAAATATTTTTATTTCGATATTTTTTTCTGCGTGAATGTTATGGAAACCTGGGGCCAGGCCACTTTGAAGCGTTGTCATAAGCATTAAAAGTAACATGTCGGTTGAGTTATTTTGAGTCTTAAAGTCGGACTTTACGTAGTTGGAAACCTGGAGTGCGTATGTACCCCACTCCATGCAAATATTCTGTATTGCTATATCTCCAGATCCTGATTATTTAGAAGAATGATGTCTTCGGCAAAGTTGGTCAGGAACTCGGTCAGGAAGTCCTTGATAGTGTTTTAATTGTGTATGGGTCTTGAAAGTTATAGAAAAAGCGCTTGATAAAGCGTTGCGATCGGAATCCTAACAACAGCCGTAAATCTACTGGTGGAGGTGTCCTTGTAGTTGTCCGTAGCGGGTTGGAGGCAAAGGCCATCGAGAACGAATCATGGAACTATGTGAAGCAGGTTTGGACAGCCATCAATCTGGGTGATCGCACATTATTTCTATGCGCTCTGTACATTCCACCTGATCGAGTCCGCGACAATGAACTCATCGATACTCACTGTCGGTCAGTTTTCACAGTTATCGAAAGTGCCACTCCAGTTGATGAGATATTCATTTTTGGTGACTTCAATCTGCCAGGCGTTTCGTGGAGTCCATCTCATAGCGGATTCCTGTACCCAGATCCTGATAGCTCTACATTTCACGCATGAGCTATTAGCCTTCTCGACAACTACAGCGCAGCGACGCTTTCTCAAATTAACCATGTAGTTAACAAAAATGGTTGTAGTTTGGACCTCTGCTTCGTGAGCACACAGGACATGGCTCCATCAATTTCCTTGGCTCCTTGTGCACTAACTAAGCTAGTTCCACATCACCCTCCTCTAATTGTCACTGTTGAGGACAAACTCGTGCGTGATTTCGGCGACTATCCTGCTACGGTTTCTTATGACTTCCGTAAAGCTGACCACCGTAGCACAGACAAACAGACATAACACATTGAATATTTCTCACTGTAAAACATCGTCGCTAAAACATTACCGCCATCTGTTGAGTACACTGTGGTGGGTAGTACGCTGAACAGGTGGCGGTAGTGTGTAAACGTCAAACTCAAGGGAAATGACTATGCGCGCCACAGGTGGCGGTACTACCAACTACGATACGTTTAAATTGACCGTTAAATGCTTGTTCGATGAACATCTTGCGAGTGTTATGTCTGTTTGTCTGTGACCGTAGCATCATAGATGTATTGTCTAGCATGGTATGGGAGAACATCCTTGATCCAGATGACGTTGAGGCTGCAGCGCAAACCTTTTCACATGTCTTGGCATATGTCATTGACAGACACGTCCCGAAAAGAACTCACCACAAAGTGTCTCACCCTCCCTGGCAGACGAGAGAGCTACGTAGGTTGAAGTCAATCAAGAGAGCAGCATTGAGAAGATTTACGAAGTACATATCTCACGCTTCCTCTGAAACTACATTATGTGAGGCTGAATCACATGTACCAGCGAGTCAGTCGTGAATGCTTTTCAAGTTTCCAACGAGGCATCCAGCGCAAACTTAAGCTACACCCGAAATCTTTTTGGAACTACGTGAACGAGCAACGCAGGGAATCCAGCCTCCCATCGTCTATGGAATTCAACGGAGAAGCTGCTGTCACCGTTCAGGATATATGCCACCTTTTTTTCCGAAAAGTTTGCCAGTGTATTCACTAATGAGACCATATTAACCTGGCTGCCAGGAACGTTCCAGTAAACGATCAAACGCTGGGTGCAATTGATGTTAATGCAGAAATGATTTCCAAGGCCGCAACTCTGCTCAAGTCATCCTTCAATCCTGGACCTGATGGAGTTCCATCTGTATTTTTGAAGAGAAATATTGCTAGCTTGTTAATTCCACTTCTTCGCCTGTTCCGAATGTCTCTCTCAGGTGGCATATTTCCATCTTGCTGGAAATTTGCGCACATGTTTCCCGTCCACAAAAAAGGAAGGAAACGAGCTGTGGATAACTATCGAGAAATTACATCGTTAAGTGCCGTTTCGAAGCTATTCGAGCTAGTGCTGTCCCATTGCAAGCAATATTTGAGTGCTGATCAACATGGGTTTACGGGTTTACTGTCGGCATCTCAACAACCACCAATCTGCTGTGTCTCACATCGTATAAAACCGAAAGCATGTCGGATCGGGTTCAAACGGACGTTATTTATTCAGACTTATCCGCAGCATTCGACAAGTTGAACCATGGAATCATAGAGGTAACTCTAAGACTAGAAGGTCCCGATATAATGTGCTCAACTTTTTGGCTCAGCTCTGGTACTCTCTTCGGTCCCAAGCTAATCGATTCACCCCTCGAAACATAGGAAAAACCAATAACCCCTCATTTTATCTGTCAAACTTTCATAGCGAATCAAAACAAACATTGTTAAGTACTAGAATTTCGACTAGAATGGGATACGTTAATCGTTTGCTTGGGACCAATAGGCTAGTCAAGTAGTGAGCCAATTTAAAATCGTTAGTTTCGTATTGATTGTTGATGCTATTGTGATTGCTAAACTCGGCAGGCTCGGTGTATGCAGAAATCTTCTGAGTTGGTTTCGATCATATCTTACCGGTCGGCAACTAAAGGTTGCCATAGGAGATTGCAGATCAGCCAGCTTCTTCGCCACATCAGGTATACATCAGGGAAGCCACATGGGACCTTTGACTATATGCTTAGTATTACCAACAATCAATACGAAAGTAACGATTTTAAATTGGCTCACCACTTTAGTAGCCTATTGGTCCCAAGCAAACGATTAACGTACCCTATTCTAGTCAAAATTCTAGTACTACGCAATGTTTGTTTTGATTCGCTATGAAAGTTTGACAGATAAAATGAGGGGTTATTGGTTTTTCCTATGTTTCGAGGGGTGAATCGATTAGCTTGGGACCGAAGAGAGCACCAGAGCTGAGCCAAAAAGTTGAGCACGTTATTTCGGGACCTTTTAGTCTTAGAGTTAATGGTAGTGAACCCAGCCAAATGCTCCGCTTTTACGTTCTCACGAAAACAACAACCGATAATATTTAGCTATGACCTGCTTGGCTCGACAATCGAACGCGTGAATCAGGTAAAAGACTTGGGTGTGATCTTGGATTCGTAGCTTTCATTCAAGCAACACATTGCATATGTTGTTGATAAGGCGTCAAGAACTTTAGGGTTCATTTTTAGGATAGCTAAACCTTCACTGATATCTATTGTCTAAAATCTCTCTATTGTTCGCTTGGTCGATCGACGCTTGAGTATTGTTCAGCGGTTTGGAACCCAAACTACAACAACGGTGCCGAGAGAATTGAATCTGTTCAACGTCGCTTTCTTCGTTTTGCGTTGCGTAGATTGCCTTGGAATGATCCGTTTCGATTACCCTGTTACGAAAGCCGTTGTCAACTTATCGACCTAGAACTTCTCCGGACTAGAAGAGACACAAGCAGAGCCCTAACCGTGGTCGATATCCTGCAAGGAAGGACAGATTGCGAGGCTATCCTGAGGCAAATTGACCTGAATGTTCAACCCCGACCGCTTCGTAATAACCTTATGCTAAGACTGCCTCTACGTCGCACAAATTATGGAGCATTCGGTGCAATTTGCGGACTGCAGAGAACATTCAACAGAGTTGCATCTGTAACCGATGGTTCCAGAATGTGGGCTCTATCACAAGCAGACTCATAATCGACTGTATAACAGTGTTGTAGCATGGTCGTCCTAAATCCAACTCTGCTTTTGGTCGCTCACTTCCCATACCGTTCCATTCGCCTGCGGCATCACTCACTCTCATGAAACCGGTTGACAGCAGGCGCACTGCCGAAAAGGTTGTCCATAGATGGGGCAAGGGGAGAGGTAATGCAGATAAATTGAAAACATAAAAACAGTGAAATTCGGGTTCGCTCGTAGTTCATGGTTTTTCGGTCATTGCTTGGCGTGTTAGCAGGAGTAAATTAATTTCCT